GGGATTCATCCCTGGGATGCAAGGCTGGTACAATATTCGCAAATCAATAAACTTGATACACCACATAAATAAAACGAAGAATAAAAACCACATGATCATATCAATAGATGCTGAAAAAGCCTTCAACAAAATCCAGCATCCATTTCTGATAAAAACGCTCAGCAATGTGGGAATAGAGGGATCATATCTAGACATAATAAAGGCCATATATGATAGACCTACAGCCAACATCATACTTAATGGGCAAAAACTAAAAGCATTTTCCTTAAGAACAGGAACAAGGCAAGGATGCCCACTTTTGCCACTCTTATTTAACATAGTACTGGAAGTCTTAGCCACAGGAATCAGACAGGAAGAAAAAATAAAAGGGATCCAAATTGGAAAGGAGGAAGTGAAACAGTCATTATTTGCAGATGACATGATACTATACGTAGAAAACTCCTAAGAATCCATAAAAAATTTACTAGACTTAATAAATGAATTTGGCAAAGTAGCAGGATACAAAATTAACGTCAAGAAATCGATGGCATTCTTATACACCAAGGATGAACTCGCAGAAAGAGAAACTAAGAAAACAATTCCATTTACCATTGTGGGGGAAAAATTAAGATGAATAAACTTAACCAAAGAAATAAAGGACCTACTCGCAGAAAAGCACAGGTCATTGAAAAAAGAAATAGAGGAAGATATAAAAAAGTGGAAGCACATACCCTGTTCATGGATTGGGAGAATTAACATCATTAAAATGCCATATTACCCAAAACAATCTATAGATTCAAGCAATCCCCATCAAAATACCAACGGCATACTTCACAGAATTAGAACAAGTACTTCAAAAGTTCATATGCAACCAAAAAAGACTTCGAATAGCCACAGCAATCTTGAAAAGGAAGAACAAAGTTGGAGGGATCACATTACCAGATTTCAGCTTATACTACAAAGCCACCGTAATCAAAACAGCCTGGTACTGGCACAAGAACAGGCATATAGACCAGTGGAACAGAACAGAGAACCCAGAAATGGACCCAAGGCAATATGCTCAATTAATATTTGACAAAGGTGGCAAGAGCATACAGTGGAGTAAGTCTCTTTAATAAGTGGTGCTGGGACAATTGGAAAGCTATATGCAAAAAAATGAAACTAGACTATCAACTTACACCGTACACATGAATAAACTCAAAATGGATAAAAGACTTAAATGTGACTCATGAATCCATAAAAATCCTAGAAGAAACTGTAGGCAACAAAATTTCAGACATCATATACAGCAGAATTTTCACTGATATATCACCTAAGGCAATAGAAACAAAGGAGAAAATTAACACATGGGACTACATCAAACTCAAAAGCTTCTGCACAGCGAAAGATACAATCATCAAAACGGAAAGGCTACCCACTGTATGGGAGAGCATAATTGCCAATGATATATCAGATAAGGGGTTAATTTCCAGTATATATAAAGTGCTCATACAACTCAACAAAAGGAAGACAAAGAACCCAATTAAAAAATGGGCAGAGGAACTAAATAGACACCTCTCCAAACAGGACATACAAATGGCTAAGAAACATATGAAGAAATGCTCATCATCACTAATCATCAGAGAGATGCAAATTAAAATAACAATGAGGTATCACCTCACACCTGTCAGGATGGCCACCATCAACAAATCATCAAACAAGTGTTGGCGAGGGTGTGGAGAAAAGGGGACTCTAGTACACTGATGGTGGGAATGCAGACTGGTGCAGCCACTATGGAAAACAATATGATGTTACCTCAAAAAATTAAAAATTGAACTTCCATTTGACCCAGTGATCTCACTTCTAGGAATATACCCTAAGAAGCCTGAAACACCAATCAGGAAGAATATATGTACCCCCATGTTTGTAGCAGCACTGTTTACAATAGCTAATATCTGGAAACAGCCCACATGTCCATCAGTAGACGAATGGATAAAAAAGCCGTGGTACATATACACAATGGAGTACTATGCAGCTGTAAGAAAGAAAGATCTCTTATCCTTTGAGATGACATGGAGGGACCTGGAAAGTATCATCCTAAGCGAAACAAGCCAAACAGAGAAAGACAAGTATCATATGATCTCACTTATTTGTGGAATATAATGAACATATCAGTCTGAGGAATGGGGTAGTCCCAGAGACGTGGAAGTGGGGTACAGACTGACAATCCCCAGAAGAGGAGGTGGTGGGGGAGAGATAAACCACAGAACTTATATGCATATATGCATGAACAGTGGACATGGACAACAAACTGGGGACAGGGCAGGGAGGGAGAGGGAGGGGGGAAATCAATGAATCAATGGAGGGAAAAAGGGGAAACATCTGTAACAAAAATGAATTAATAAAAAATAAATAAATCAATAAAAAAATAAATAAAAAGGTATATATATATATATATATATTTTATCTTTTAGTATCCATTCAAAGACAGAAAGTTGCCCTGGCCAGTCTGGTTCAGCGGTTAGAGCGTCGGCCTGCGGTCCAGAGAGACCTGGGTTCGGTTATCACTAAGGGCACGTACTCAGTTGCAGTTTGTCCCCGGCTCCAGTTGGGGTTTGCAGGAAAGGAACTCAATATGTCCCTTTCACGGCAATGTTTCTCTCTCTCCCTCTCCCTCTCTTCCTCTCTCTCCCTCCCACTCTATCTGAACAAAAATGGAAAAATGTCCTCGGGTGAGGATAAAAAAAAAAAACTCAGAAAGTCACATTAATACCTCCCACTATTAATATTAATTTTCAATTTGTTCTTTTACATTTAACGTTTTTCTTCATGTAATTGCTACTGTATTGTTTGTTGAAGACTGAGGCCTGTGTTGTGTTTGAACAGGCTAGAGAGCCACAGCAGCCTCACCTTCATTATTGGGCCCTTAGTGAGTCTTTTTCTGATTGATAACAACACGTAGATTTTCTTTTTGTTATAAAACATACTGCAGCATTTAGAAAAAGATCTTGAAAGAGGAAATATACACTATAAAAATGAAAATAGATAAAAATATAACACTTGGGATGTAGAGGTGGAAAAAGAGAATGGGAAAAGTAAAGGAATATAAATTTATTTTATTTCACAGTGACAACTCAACAGAGACGCTTACATTCATACAGTTGATAGAAAAATGTGAATTGAAAATGTGGCATTAAAATTTTTATTTACCTTTCCTGTCCTCCATAGTTTCTTGTTCATATTATTTACTGAACAGAAACAAACAGGCAAATTAATAAATAAAGGATAGGTGGTTTTTTTTCTTTCTTTCTTCAAATTCCAATATTTCCCCCTTAGTTACTTGTAATAACCATATGCATGAATTGGGAGTGTTGCTTACAGCATACAGTAGGGATGAGTCACTGCCTTTCCTTTTTTTCCAACTGTCAGCTCTGTGCTAGAAGCACCATTATCTTTGTGGTTTAAGCCAAATCCCTGTCCCAGCAGCCTCTATTTCTTTCTGAATATGAATGAGGTAGAGAGCTGTGCAGGTGTTTGCAAGTATGTATTAGGAAAGGAAGGGAAGAGAGAGAGGATGAGCTGGCTTCTCAAGAAATAAAATTTCATGAGAAACCTGAAAACAGACTTTCAAAATGTCATTCTACAAATCCATAGTGAATTTGCATTTCATGTTATCCTAATGCAGCATCTCTGTGTAATCTTTCAAGCAACAGAAATGCTACATCCCATTTCTATTCATCTGCAGAGAGCGGTTGGTCTGAAGGCTCGCTGGTCTGAGAAGTCTGGACGGTGTTGATGTCTTTGGGTTTCTTGGGTTTGAGATTTTGGTTAAGGAGAGAGGGAAGGCAGATTTGAGAGAGATCACAAGTGAAAGGGAGAAAAAAGGAAGAAGTCTGCAGAGGGCTCACACCTGACTTTCACACTGTGACTACTCAGGGATATTTCAAAATGTTTTCGAAGAGCAAATACTTTTTGGAGACGTGAGAATATCTCCAAGTATGAAGAAAACTAACGGAATGTCTCAAATGTTTGGAATTATTCCAAGGCCAGGATTTCCAGATATTTGTAAGGAAGCCATTGCATAGCGATGTTTAAATATTCAAGTGGGTTTTAAGATGGTAAAGGTGGAAAAGAGGCATACCCTTCAAATCTTCCTTTTTAAAATCAGGACAGTACCTACTCCATAAGGCTATCAGGAGGACGTAACTAGTGTGAGTGGCTGGTCAATAAAGGTGAGTCCTCCTGATCCTCTGTCTCTTTTGACCTCCAAGGGCTGTTGTAGCAAAATGATGTGAAGCATTTAAAAGGACACAGTGCTGCAGAAAATGAATTATATTATTACTGTTTACCACTGCAGATCCTGAGTCAATAATTATTGACGTGATGGATGCCAGATGCGAATAATAGCCAGGCTTCCTGGACATCTGCCCTCCCATACTCAGTCTTCCCACGGCTCCTGGACAGCTACACCAATCACATGTTTTTAAATTAAGAACTTTCCTGCTACAAATGTCTTGTGCAAGTGCCAATGTCATGCTAATCCATTTTTCGCATGAAACGCACTTAGTTTTACTTTCATATTCTTGTATTTCATGTCAGATATTCACCATGATGAGTTTCTTGGCAACTCCTAGCAAGAATCATCCAGACTGAAAAAAAAATTCCAGCATCTACACATGCAAGCCTTATAGTCTGGCTTTTGGTTTATTCTGAATTAATAAGTTTAGACCATCTATTTTTCACTCTTGGGCTTGAGAGTCTCTCATATTTTGTTAAGGAACATCAAGCTTCGTATCCCCTCACCAGTCAGTGCTGACACTGCCACCTGGGAGGAGGAACTCCGTACAGATGTTGGTGCAGGACTGGGACAAGGCCCCTGCCTTTCCCGATGAGAACCCGGGGGTGGTAGGGGCTGGCTATGACTTGCTGCAGGGAAGACCCTTCTTTATATGGCTGCTGTGAGTGGCCTGGCTGGAAGATGGGGCTGGGCATTCCCTTCCCTGAACAGGCTGAAGAAACCCACAGACTCCGCAAGGACTTACTGAATGTGACCGACTCGTTGATCTTGAAGCTGCAGAGGACCCTGTTCACGTTGCGAGCGTGTCGAAAGCCATTCCCTCTCACGACTACTTGAAATGATTCTGAAATGAAGAGTAACGACAAGACACGTTATTTGACTGCAGACCATTAACCTTGGGTTTCCCATCTTCTCTGATTCAGGGTGTTTGTCAACTATTTCACCAGGCTTAAAATATTTGAAAATTAGTTTAGGTTGGGAACCAAAAGTGATCATGTGGGTGCCTTTTGTCACTTACTTACTAGGTGTCCACAAGGAAGACATCGTACTTAGAATTCCCACCTTCCTGCCTTTGCTCTTGCTGTTCCTTCTACCTGGAATGCCTTCCTCCCTGCTTCTGTCACTCAAATCGTACTCATCTCTCAAGTCGCTGCAATTTTCAAAACTGTGATCTCTGCAACCAAGGGCCACAGGGGAAGGAAGGGCTCTCCCTTTCTTTAACCAACTCAACTATTCTCTTGTCTCTTTTACATATTGGATGCCCCTGAAAGGATTTCTTCTTATTTTTTAAATTTTTTTTCTTTATTGATTTTAAGGGAGAGGGAGAGAGAGAGAGAAACATCGATGAGAGAGAACATCGATTGACCACCTCCTGCATGCCCCCCACTGGGGATCGGGCCCACAACCAGAGAGAACATCGATTGGCCACCTCCTGCATGCCCCCCACTGGGGATCGGGCCCACAACCTGGGCATGTGCCCTGACCGGGTATCGAACCAGTGACCTCTTGGTGCATGGGGTCTCAACTACTGAACCACACCAGCCGGGCTGAAAGGATTTCTTTAGAGCTCAAGGTGCCTAACATTTTTGGAAAACCACTGCCTTATGGCATTGGCTTTCACAGTCTATCCTAAACAATTAGCATGTGATTGTGTACCATTTGGTGTTGTTCTTTTGCCTTTTCTTCCACACCTAGAAATACATTCCTTTAGGTTGAGAACTGTTTGATACTGCTTCGGTTCTCCTGTCTCTGCTGGGCACACACTACTAATACCCTTGCCATGTAGCATTAGTTGTAGTTAGCAAAAAATCAAAGTCTTGCTTATCACTGACCAGTTGTCAGGCAGGCATTACCTGTTTGAATTGATGTTGGCCCCTTACTGTAGTTAGTACTCACTTCTCTCTGGATAGAATAGAGAATACATATCACAGGTCTCTGGCCCTGCATATTAATTTCACATCAGCATAATGCATGTTGAATTGATTCATGGTAATAAAATCCTTTGAAGTAAAAATAATGATCCTTTTACAATAGTCTAATCAAGGGAAACAAAAACAGCCTTTGTTAATTAATTAGTTAAATGTTTAGGAATTTTTGCTTAAGTTTGATGGTAGCTAATAGTCAACGCTCCACTTTCTTTTATTTTTGTCATCGTACTGTGTATAAAAATTGGGGCTCGGGATAATGCTGTGTGGCATATTAAAAAAGAAATCAACTAAAAGTCATGGGGAAAGAATGCAGTATTTGTGAAAGTGGATCTTAAACTGTAAATTTCTACCCAAGTAGAGATTTGTGTTGGACGAAGAATGAAATTAGAAGGCTAACATACAGGACTGTTCCAAACTGCAATAAATGTCACTAGTGTGCGTCACTTGGATTCCCAGGAAACTAGTTTAGATATCGTGTTTGCCAAGAGAATACTAACTGATGTTAATCCCTCCCCCACTGTGTGCCATGCCCTGTGCTCAGCGTTGTATGAGTCTGATGTCATTTAAACCTCACCACAGCCCAAGAAGGTACAAATGGGAAAACTGAGGTTGGTAAGGTTAAGTTATCTGTCCAAGGTCACATAGTTAGTAGCTGTCAGACTCAGAACCGGAACCCAGGTCTGTCAGGCAGCAAATGCCTGCCGTGCCCTCAGAACTCAGGCACGATGCGCTTCACCGTTATGCTAACATGGGTCCTCACTGTCTTGTGACATATGACTAGTGTAGAGATTGACACTGTGATGTTTTAGAAAGCCTTCTTCATTTTTACTTTAGGCAGACGTGTCCATTTTGCAGGAAAGTGGAGCTGGCCTGGAAGGAAAGCAAGAAATCAAAACTGAAGTAGAAGAACCCAGAGGCACTGCGTGTACCACAACGAGCACAGTGAGAACAGAATGATTTTTACAAGTAAAACGGACCATAATGATAAGGAACTTGACATTCTGACATTTTAAATGACTTGCCCAAGGTGATGTAATTAGTAAGCAGCAAAGCTGGGAGTTGTATCCAAGTGTTCAGGGCCTTGGTTTTAAAGTATATTCATTAAGGTCATGGGCATATGGTTTTTCAGGACCAGAAGTCCTATGACTATTACATATTTATATATGCATATTAGTGCATATACATGATTGCTAGTTTAGAAGGATGGACTTCACAGTTTCTTTGGAGGTCTGCCTGACACGTGACTGATGATGGTTCGACAACACGGTGGAAGAAACTTTCAGTATCTTGTTTACTCAAATTAAGCCTCTGAAAACCTAGTTCTGGTTTTAGTTTGAATGCTGGACTTCCAGAAATCTGCCATTGAATGCTTTTGTGGATTCAAAATGTTTTCTGCCTCAAGTCTGTGCCTACTTCTCATTGCCTCCAAGATCAGCGAAGAGAGAGACGACCCTGGAAACGCAGGCTGCGTGCCGAGGCCTCTCCCCTGACGACGGATTCTAGCATTACCGGCTCGGCTGCCGAGTCCTCTATAAAAGAGGCTGCCCACACGTCGGCTTGGCCCGACCTCACAGTGTGCAGGAAGAAGGAGAACAGGAGTCCATGACGTGGCAATGGTGGAGACCCAACAATTTAACCCCAGGCCTGGGAAGAAGATGGAGGAAGTGATGCTACCAGGAACACAGGAGGAGACAGCCACCCCCACCCCGGGTGCCGTTTCTGTGTTAGTGCGCACATGTGGTTTCCAGAAGAGCCCATCTGACTCAGCAGCCCAACCAACATGTCAACGCTTTACACATACACGTTATGTAACAAAACCCTGTCAAACGAATGCGCCAGCAAGTGAGAACCAGGACATGCCGATTTAACTCCATTTATCCACAAAACCCTGAACCGACCCTTCAAAATATGTACAGCTAAGTGTTTTTAGGCAATTTGCATACAGGGTTACAGCTCAGAAGTGTTTAGGAATTGTAGGGTTTTAGGAAGGAATTTCTACTTGAAAACAATCTTTGATCTAATCTTTTAAGATACATATTTTTAAGGTATCTTTTTTTTTTTTTATCCTCACCCTAGGATATTTTTCCATTTTTTGTACAGATAGAGTGGGAGGGAGAGAGAGGAAGGGAGAGAGAGAGAGAAACATCGACGTAAAGGGACACATCGAGTGGCTGCCACCTGCACGACCAACCAGGGCTGGGGACAAACTGCAACCGAAGTACATGCCCTTAGCGGGAACCGAACCCGGTTCTCTCCGGACCGCAGGCCAACGCTCTAACCGCTGAGCCAAACTGGCCAGGGCTAAGGTATCTTTAAGACATATGTTCATTCTTCTTCTTCTGCCATTCTTATTTTCTTTTTTTTTTTTTTTTTTTATCCTCATCCGAGGACATTTTTCCATTTTTTGTACAGACAGAGTGGGAGGGAGAGAGAGGAAGAGAGAGAGAGAGAGGGAAACATCGATGTGCAAGGGACACATCGAGTGGCTGCCACCCACACGACCGACCAGGGCCGGGGACAAACTGCAACCGAGGTACGTGCCCTTAGCGGGAACCGAACCCAGGTCTCTCCGGACCGCAGGCGGACGCTCTAACCGCTGAGCCAAACCGGCCAGGGCGCCATTCTTAGTTTCAATTATAATTTAAGCTTCCTGATGGAAGTGGCCATCATTTCTATTTTTTTCCTTAGGTTTTGACTGTATCTAACTCAGGACTGAGTCAGTCTTAGTATAAGCTTATTGAATGAATAAATACTTGGTTAAGAAAAGGAATAAAGGGGATGAACAAGGTGGTCATGATAGGGAGAAGGGCATGTAACAGGAATAGAACTATAGTTGTTTAATGACTATTCACCTTACTAACTGTAGATACGAGGTTTTCTTACAGACCCTGGGGACTGGAGGGTGTGCTGCAAGAAGAAAAACAGGGCTGTAAAGAAGATAAGATGCCTTGGAGCCTGGAGGGGCCTATTACGCAGAAAATACATTTTGAGAGCAGGCAAAGGACAGGACACACTTTGACTTGGTTGCTGTGCCTGGACCTTGACCCCTCCAGGAGTTTGCTTCAGAATGCTGAACATTCTCCAGTCCCAGGAACGGGCTGAGCTGTTTCTAACATCATAGAAAATTAACTACCTTGTTATCAGACTTCAAGGTCCTGGAAGGAGACACATGGACCACGGACCCTGCAGCCCTCACCCTGCTCCTCTGCCTACCTTGCACACAGCCCCTTTCTTCCTTACCCATATAGAATCAGCCAACTAACAGGGGATGTTAGAGCAGAATTTCTAAGATGACCCACTGTTCTCCCCATACTGCCGGCATTATTGGAATAAACGCTCATATATGATTCAACCCTGTCTCTGCTTAATTTGGCTCAAGTAGTGACAGGCGGCCTTGGACCCATTTTGTGTCCAGTTTCAGTCATTTATTCAGGTACCACTCAGGTCTAATCCTGTTTATCTTCTGGGAATAAATAGATCAGATGAAAAGACATTCAACATCTTTAGTCGTTAGGGAAATGAAAACCAAAACCACAACGAGATACTGCTCCATACTCGCTAGAATGGCTGAAATAAAGAGATGGACAATAACAAGAGACAATAACAAGTGTTGGTGAAGAAATTAGAACCCTTATGCATTGCTGGTGAGAATGTAACATGGGGTATGTGCTTTGTAAAATCGTTTGGTAGCTTCTCAAAAAGTTAAACAGAGTTACCAGAAATTCTACCCCTAGGTATACATCCCTGAGAACTGAAAATGTAGGTCTACACAAAACGTGTACATGTATGTTCACATTATTCATAACAGACAAAAATGGAAACAACACAAATGTCCATCAACTGACAACTATGATATTCTCACAGGGAATATTATTCATCCATGAAGTTCTCACACATGCTAAGACATGGACAAATC